GCATTTATATTAGTTGATATAAACATGTAAGATTTGTTTAAAGAAAAAACAAAATAATAACAAAGAAATTATAAGAAATTCAAAAGAGGAAAAAAAATCAGAAAAAAGCATTAACTGTTCCTTTCAAAAGATCAGCAGAAATTGACAATGCAATTAAACAAACTATTTGTACTCCAACATATTTTCCCTTCTTTCATTTGTCTTTTTCATCATCCAAGTTTTTCCTTCCCACTGAACAATTTCCTTCCCTTCTGCAGTACCTGTTGTACCTTACAGATTTTCATTACTCTTTCAGGGTCTCACACGAGTGAGATAATACGATGTCTGCACGTGTGGATCTGATTTATTTTACTTACCAATATAGTCTCTAACTACATCCATTTATCTACAAAATCCTCAAATTTATCTTTTTTTATAGCTGAATAATACTCCATTGTGTAAAAATGCCATATCTTTTTTATCTTTTCTCCAGTTGGTAGGCATCTGTGTTGTTTCCAAGATTTAGCTATGACAATCTGTGGTGCTATACTACTACGAAGACAAGAATAGGCACTGTATTAATTATTGTAACTGTCCTACTAACCTGTTTTGAAATTGTCTCATTGCCATTTCTTTCTCAATAAAATTAATTTAAAAAATTGTACTGCTATGAACAGGGGTGCACATATACCGCCGTGGCATGATGATTTCAGTTCTTTTGGAAAAATACCTAGGAGGGGAATAGCTGGCTTGAATGGGACCTCCAATCCTAGCTTTTTGAGGAATCTCCATACTAATTTACATAACGGTCGTACCAGCCTGCATTCCCACCAACAGTGGAGAAGGATTCCTTTTTCCCCACAGCAAGAGTCCTCTTTTTTTTTTAACATTTAGTGTGTGTGTGTGTGTGTGTGTGTGTGTGTGTGTGTGTGGCCAGCTCAGCCCACCAGGGGGCAGGGCTGGCTGGCATGTGGTGCTGGGGGATCGAACCGCGGTCCCTGTGCTTTAGCCAAGCTTGTTCCAAGTAGGTGCTTTAGACCACTGAGCCATCTCTCCAACCCCAAGAGTCCTCTTTTAGATGAGCTCCAACTTAGACCCAGGTTGACAGTGTTCGGAAGCTAAGGGGACTGCAGCTCTTGGGGGAAGTGAAGAAAAAAATACAGAGGGACCTGAGGGCTGCTTTGTGTGGCGCCAGCTGAAGCCATCCTTCCCTCCACCACCGCTTCAATGTTCTAAACTCTCCCGACCCCATTTCTGACAGTGGTCCCTGTCCCCATAGGGCCCCCTCCACAAGGTCTTTGGTCTCCACCTCCTTCTCCAAGGGTGTCTGTCTTGGTCCTTCTGAGGAGGGTTGCGAAGTTTCAAGTGATAATTAAGGCACCACATTCACCATTTTCTATCCAGCGCCTTATACGGATCCTGATGTGCGGTGAGCATTTCACCCATACAAGCTGGCCAGCTGGTCACTCAAGCATTAGCATTTATTTCCAGGACGACTCTATAGCTTTACTCCATACGCAGACGTTCTCACATTGGTAGGAAGCAGTGGACATGATTTGATGATAGACAAGAAAACGGAAGTTTGAATGCGTGAGGAGGAATTTCCCAGTGTTACCCAGTTGACAGCTGAGAAAAACAAGACTCCAACAGGCCTTGTGCCCTAGAAAGAGCCAGATGGGATGCCTGCCGTAAGTGTGAATACTTACAGGTAACAGAAAGTCCTAGGGGCCCCAGACCTACCTGAGGGCCATATTTTCTGTCAGGAGCTAATAAAAACCAACTTAAAGATTTCAGGCTGTCCTCTTTCAGGACAGGGTGGTGATTGAAGCCGATGGCTGGAGGTAGGGCGCAGCCTGGCAATGGTAAGAGAGAAGGACCAGAAAACAGGACAACAAATAAGGCCAGGCTATAAAGTGATACCAACTGCAGACACAGTCCCAAGTGGAGGATCTTAGAGGCAAACTACAAGACAAAAATGCTTCAGTGGAATCAAGGGCTCCGTTATACACATCAAGCTCTAAGTGTCCAGGGATTTAGAAAAGAGAGAGAACTTGGTAGATGAAGAAGTCTGAGGTGAGCACTGGGGCCTTGCACTGGGCCTTGAAGAAAGGTTACAATCTGATTAAGTGACAGGTTTGGGAACTGAATCTTCCATGTGTGAAATTCTGAGCAGGAAAAAAAGAGGTAAGGAAGCATTGTTGAGCAGTGGCTGCGCATCAGCCCTGTGTCAGGTGTCGTCACACGTGCTCGCTCACTCCACAGAGGGAGCGAGCACAGTACGGGTGAAGGAGGACAGGAAATAGGTCAGACTGCAGCAGGGCTCAGGGAGGGAGCAAGGCAGGAGAGAAGGTCAGCAGGGCTCAGGTGAGGGCGCCTCGCGTGCCAGGCCAGGAAGGCTTCTCTCACATCTTCCCATGTGTTTGCTACAATATTCTTCGTGATTATTAGAAACTTAGTCTAGACCATGAGCAACTGAAAGGTAGGGGCTCTTTCAGGTATCCTCACAGTGATTCTCAGAAGTAGCATACATCAGAATCACCTTGAGGATTTGTGATAATGGCAATGGTAGGCCCCCGGCCCCCAGAGTTTCTGATTCAGTAGGTCTTGCTCTAGGCCTGAGTAGCTCTCTGTCTAATAACTTCTCATTCTTGCTGATGGCCCTGGAAATTCATGCTGCTGGGCAAGGGCTTTTGGGCTTTTGGGGATCCCTCAATATTAAACATAGTCGACTACTGTGACTTCTAAGATTAGAGAACCAAAGAATTCACAGCTCCTCTTCCTGGCTTTTTCCCTCTGAAGAGGCCAGCTGCCATACTGTAGAAAATTCTAGTAGCCCTGTGGTGAGATCACATGGAAAGAAACCAAGACCTTTCACACAGCCATCAACACCAGTGCTGGCCAGTGCCAGCCACGTGGACCAGCTACATAGAATCAGATCTGCCAGCCCCAGCTAAGCATTTGAATGATTCCAGTTGCAGTTGGTTGTCTTCACAACTTCATGATGGACCCTAAGCCAGAACCTACAGAAACCATGACAGATGATAAATGTTAAGGTTATAAAGCATTGAAATGAAAGAGTAAGACTGGCGGCCAAACACAGCCTCTCTAGAACCTGGAATCAAGACACTTAGACCACAACTTGGCGAAGAAAGAAAAAGCAATAGATCTCCAGAAATCTATAAAGAGCTGGAAGAAAACTAGAAGCTACAGTGAGGCTGGAGAAATGAAGTACAATGCAGAAGCAGCCTGGAAAGCTGATCCAGCTGCTCCGTGGGGAAGCTCCCCTGCTAACACAAGGTAAACCACAGTGTCAGCAGCTCCAGGGAAAAATGAAGTACCAGGGCTGCAGGGCTAGCCCAAAGAAAAGCCCAGAGTTACTGCAAAGTGCAAAAACAATGTGGAGCTGTACTCCAAAAGCAACTCCTTCCACATAGCAAGCTAGAGCTGGAGAAAATACCCAGTGCAGCCAACCATATCTGAGGGTGTTTAATCAGGAGCCATTTGGGAAAGGAGCGAATTACGTAAGGCTGAGCTACAGAACAATTTCACTTTAGGGTTCCTACCACAGGGGCTGGGTGACAGATGACAAAAAAAGGTAGTCACAAGGCTGGGGAGATAACTTGGCAGTCTAAGCGCCTGCCTGGCAGCGCAAGGACCCAGGTCTGATCCCTGATACTACATGCCATGCTGGCTAATGAAACTAGGTGTGGTGGTGCACACCTGTAATCCCAGGACTGGGGAAGCTGAGACAGGAGAATCACTACGAGTCTGAGCTGCACAGCGAGAATAAATAAATAAATAAATAAATAAATAAATTTTTAAAATTTAAAAAGAATAGTCACAGAGAAGGTGTGGGCTACACAGAGATCTCCTGAATAATTTGAACTCAGGTGGGAAGGACATCAGATATCACCCTCCAACTTGAGAAGCCAGGAGGGGTCTGGGTCGAAAACTGCTGATAGTATGCGTGACTACACTCCCCCTCCCATACCTGACTGCCTGCACCCAGCACAGAACTCAGTGATCTTCTTGATTTCCCCATTTAACAAAGTAAAAATAAGGATGCACTTCGGCTTGATCAATCGCCACAGCCCAGAGCGGATGGACAGAGGGGCTGCTGAAGTGGGTGAGTGAAGGGCACTTCACAAACCTAAGGCCATGAAGCTAGGCAGAGACAGCAGTGACATGGGGCACACAGAAGGCCATGGAGTCTAGGAGCATCTGAAGTGCATATAGCCTTATGGCAGACACCATTGACCAGTCTTACGAACCAGGACAGGTGAGGCTGGATTCCAGATTCATATGCAAAAAAATGTGAGTATGGATATGAATAAGTGACTCACTATCCCTCCCCATATCTGGTGGAATCCAAACCCACAAACACTGGGGAAGAGACACTAATTTAAAAAC